GATTGGGTCTGGTCGGTTATCAATTGCAACGGCAACTGCAAAATGCATCAGCGATTAGGTTGAAGTAAATGCGTAACAATTTATATAACGTTTGTAAATACCCAATTATGATGAGGATGATTGTGGTCTCTCTGTGGTGTTAGGCGTCTTCCATTCAATTTTCAAACATTGAAAAATGATGTACTATCCGCTGTCTGTCACTCACACAATTACCGGCAGTTGACGTACGAGCAGCAGCTTACTTCATGGTAAAGTAAAATATCTATAGTGCTCTAGAAGAATATTCTAAATATGTATGTATATAGATATAGCCATAATTGTCTGTTCCAATATATGTATATTGTATATAAATATATTTAATAAGCTCTTAATTCACTTAGTAATGGTCATCGTTCCAAATTCTACGCATTTAACCATAAGTTATACTTACTTTACCATTATATTTTTCTCTACTGTATATTATTATTATTACTATTACTATTATAGGTGACCTTTGCATAGAAATAGGCAACGAAAGTTAAAGCTTTGAAAATATTGCCTAAGAAACATTTCAAATAATTTGAATTAGAATTTGAAAAGGTTTCTAGAATTTTGGATATTTTTCCTGCATGTTTGTAAGGTTTGTAATGTAAAAAACAAAGAAAACTTACCAAAACATAACAAAGGAAATTATTGAATAATTGCGAATTCTCTAAGCAATCAATTAAATTGTTTCATACGATAGTTGGCATTGTGTTCATCCGTTAATCCTAAGATTGTAGCTGAACTCTCTCTCTCTCTTTCCAACTAAATACCCTTCGAACTATTTTTTTTGTATAGTCTTAGAAGAAAGTTTCTTAAATTGAATTGTTCTTCCAAAGAAAGCTCCGTTTGGCGCCCAAATTCAAAAGAAAAGATAATCATATAGTAAAGTTAATTATCACTAGTAAATACGAAACAATTGCAAGAGCCTATGTAAACACGATTTCTACTCCAATAGTATAGAATCCATTTTATGCTTCCCAAAGTAAATGTAAAACACATATTTGACTGAGATTTGCACCAAATTCTTTTCTCTCGATATATTGCTTTAACCATGCCATCCTTTGTGAACTACAATAAATATATAACTGTACAGGAATTTTTTAAACTGAGTGCACCGACGGTTACGTTTCGTCCATGCCGGATGAAGCTCTCATTTAATCAAATAACTTCAAAAATACTCATCATTGCCCCTTCGATGTAAGAGAATACATCTGATATTCCTACAGGACTTTTGCGTTTATAAAAATAACTTTTTGTATCTTATTTGGTATTTATTATTACAAATTTAAAAAAAAAAAGCAAGTAAGAATTATAGTCGGACAAGACCGACCGTTAATTTTTATTTTTACTCTAGAACACAAAAATTATACCTTGTTTCTATAAGAAGGCATATTTTTCATATGCGTATGTATGGGGAAGCGGGCTCAAAGCGGGCCAACCTAATGTACAAATATAATCCTTACATAGGATAGGACCCAAAAAATAGGCGTAGATGATCCAAATTTTGTAGAATTCATTTTGGCATGAAATTACTATAATATTATGGGTCAGTTTCGATCACCACATATTAAAACTTAGACTTTCTTACTCTCTAATTTTCGTGAAAATCCTTATTAGAGTGGGGATCAAAAAATATGAACTTAAGTTTTCATTATATGAGAGGGGGTTCAAAAATTACCCCAGCCATTCTAAAGTTTTCATACCAAATTTAGAAGGCTGAAATACTACTACTTAGCCAGAATAGGGCCTTATATAGGGAGTAGTCGAAAAAGTGAAGCGATCCGAGCAATTTCTGTCCTTGGACCAAAACACGTCAATGTACCAGATTTCATCGAAATATCTCAAAATTCCGACCTGTAGCTTGAACGTAAATTTACATGGGCAAACAACGGACGGAACGAGAGGCTTAGATCAATTCAGATTATGATTCTGAATCGATCGGTATAATAAGAGATGGGTGTACCTTAAACCCTGCCCTGTGTGACATACAACCGCACTAATTTAATATACCCTGTACCACAAGTGGTGTAGGCTATTAAAAATGAAATACTTTTTTGATGACGCTATACAAAGATGCTTTTATATTGAATTAATTAACTAGTCATATAGCGATGCTCAGTGCAGCAGTGGCATTGAGTTCTTGAATTAATTTCTGTTGTTTTCCCTATTATTAAGGGAATATGCTATACTAAGCTATCAACTACGGTTTTGGGCATTTTAAAGACTGCCATTTTGGAACTAGGGGCAGGAGATGCTTACGCCAGTCGAACAAGATAATGTTCTGTTCTTTCTAGAGTCAGTTGGGTGACGTAAATTGAACAAAGGATGCAGAAAGCAAGCAATGAATAATATTTAGAACAACATATACTTGTGTATGGTTGTGAGCTTCTTCTTAAAAAAAATTAAGTAAAATTAAATAAAATAAAAACTTAAACGATAAAAATTGATTCACGTCCCCAAGATTTAGTTACAAGCGAGGGATCGCCCCTCATATAGGTATGTAGAAAATTTTCCAATTACTCAAAAAGATAATTACATATAATTAATTATACTTATATAATAACAGAAAATGTTAATTTTGCTTAACTTAACATACATTCAATGAGTGATATGAAAATTGTTACATTGTGACAAAGCTGGAAAACTAGTGACATTTCGCAGCTTCCTTGAGCCGAAAAATATGTATAACTTTCACTTTAATCAAATGAATACCTTCGCATACTTCCCTTCACTTTATAAACATAGAAGAAAATATGTTTTTTTTATACCTCAGGTTGCATATAGTCCTCAGGTAGCTAATAAGAATTGGCTGCATTTATCTGTCGATTCTAAAATGGAGACGAGAGCGTGCACATAATTTTGAGTTTACTCGTAAGGTAATAATCTCAGGAGAATATCTTTCAATAACTTTTCTCAATTTCTCATATCCAACTGCATTTGACACTTAGTACGCATATCTTTCGAAGGCAGCCTAGATATTCTCTATAAAAGTGGGCTCAACTTGTAGATATCGCCAGTTGAAAATGAGGAACAAATGTTCATTCCCTGACGTGAAATGATGGATATTTAAGTGCTTCAAGAGTTTAGTCACTTTAGTTGAAATGACCACTTCAAGTCGATTGCTTCCATGCCAGAGACGGTTCGATTCGTTTAGAATCGAAAAAAGATCAGGGTCTTACACTTCTCCCTACATAAAACCCTAAAAATAAAAAATTAATCTATACCTTGTATCCGTCGGTATTAGTCATATTCACTGTTATCTATACGAAAGTTGAGTGAGATGACATCGAACTATTTACGTACTTCAGCTATTTCTGTGCGTTGCTTTGGCGACATAGAGAGTAAGTGTTTTGAGCAGTATTCTCTTTAATATCCTTAAGTACGATTCTTCGATTTAGACGATAGGTAGATCTGCCTATTTACGCTCATTTCGTCTGCCTGCCTTTAATAAGATATAGGCATTCGTATCCACATGCATGGCACGGAGAGCCACACCGGTCTCGCATTTGATTTAAAGGATTTTCTTTCCCCAAAGTATTTACTATGCCGCCATATTTGTTCAGTTTTAAGAATTAATTAAAACTTGAACTTAGATATTAAATGAAAATACATTCATAGCAGCTTTGTTTCACAATGCTGCTTATGCAGTTTTATACCCAACGAGTTACGTGTTACTAATTTGACGCATATATGTCATACATTATCTTTCTTTGATTTTTATTTAATATATAATAATGTTTCATATATTTCTATAGGCTGTGAATTTTATTTCTAATTATTTAATTTATTATAATTATTATAAGAATAATGAAAAAGTTTAATAAAGAAGAAATGATATAAGAAAAACTTCCCTTATAAGCCAGTTATCTGCACAATAATCAATTAGATAATTTAGATTCGAACAAGTAAAAAATAATATAGTGGGACACGGCCTGTCATTAATACCCTGCACTATTCTGCCTAATGCAATTGTTTATGTAACGACTTTTCAAAATAAGATTTTAGATGGGAAGCAGTCGGGAAAGCTGGCCGAACCGAACCAGTTTTCAGCAGCATTCCTCGTTGGGCCAAAGCAAGTGTACGAAATTTCTTCAAAATATCTCAAAAATTGCGACTTGAACGCTAGAAAAGAAGATAAGCACATGGACAGATAAGCTTAGATCCTTTCAGAGAGTGATTGTGGATCGGTCGATATTTTAAAAAAAGTGCGTCTCTTTCAAGTCACTCTAATTGTCACATACATTTGCAAACACTTAATATACGCTTGTACCGCAAGTAGTGTAGGGTATATAGTTTTGGATCCGATTAAGATTTTAAGTTTTCGCAGTAAGTGTCTTTACAAGCAATTAAATCCGATTTAAAATCAACTACTCTAATATTGTAATATTGTTGTTGCAATGTACAGCCACGAATTATTTAGTCGTTTGCATTATGAGAAACAGAATTTTTATATATGTATCCGACGAATATTCAAAAAAGTGAAGAAGAATTGAAATTTAAATTAAATATTTGCGCATACCGACAACATACTCTACAAGGAAAATGGGATAAAAATTAAATTTTGATTATACGGACATTTACCAATCAGCACAACTGATTGCTGTAAATCTTACCAACATTCACACATTTACATAAATTTAAAAAGTAAGACTCGAATCCAATCTCTTATAAACTACTTATCTAGAAATACAAAAATAGATAGAAACAGTCACAAATACTTTTAACCGATTACCGTAATTGAATTTGGAACATGGTTCGCGTAAGTACACTTAGAGATTAATCGATACTTTCATACTACTTTCATTACTCGCTCTTATTATATATCACATAATAATAATTTTTTCAAAAGAGTCGGATAACCGGAGATTAACCGTTAAGTACTTTCTTTCCATCATCTGTGTAGCGAAGATTGTTTCAAAATATGGCATTATATGTAGATGGGTCGGTCGTAAATATTAGTCAATTTATTCAATTATTTTCAATAGGGTTTGTGAAGATCGAAATTTTAAACAGAATGCCTTGAATATTCGTGAACACAAAATACATGCGCAGATATTAGAGGACAGACAAAGAAAGGCAAAAACAATAATTCTGAATTACATGGTATAAGTAAAGATGGCTCAATTTCAAATTTTTCTCACTATTGTGTGCGTTCACTAATACTTGAAATAATTTTTACCCTAAGTTATCCTACCTGCCATTAGCCATAATATTTAGATATAAAACAATAATTATATAAGAACCAAACAAGTGGTCATAAACATTAATCCATTATCTATGTTTTCTAATCGTTTATTGAGAATCAATTAACTGTATATTAACTATGTATCCATCTTCTTATGTACAATAAATATATAAATAAATTATTTTATCCCAAAGACAATTTTATAAGAAACTAATTAGCAAAAAAAAAAAAAAAATTTTTTATTTCGAAGGAACCAAACCAAGCACTTAGATTAGAGTTGCGGGAAAGTTTCTCTTAACACAACAATAAGAGACAATGACTTCGAACTTCTCTGGTAAGTTGCAAACTACGCGGACCCAATATGATTAAAAAAACAAAATTTAACTTAACTCAATATATTCTCGCTTAAGGTGAATGTAAACATCTTTTTTTAATATCTCTTAAATCTCTCAAAATGCTAAACTAAAACTGTGAACCCTACGAATAAAAATTTGTGACCTTTTTTTTGTTTTAAAACAACTTCGCTGCCTTTAACGGCTTTCCGGGAAAACAAATTTTCGTTTCAGTGCTTCAGTAGAATTCTAGAGAACACTCTTTTTACACTATGTCGCCACATCGGATTATGAGAAAAGGAGTAGGATAGGAAAAACTATAAAAAAAAAGGAAGACGTTTAAAAGGAGAATAAATTTTGAACGGGCGGGCGAGACCACTGCAGACAGAAGACAGGCGATGCCGGAACAAGCGACAATGTATTGCGCATAATACAAACAACTTCTGAACCAATGTTGAAAAAGTCGAGTAGTCCTATTAACGAACGTGATTGATGAAAGAACGAACCTCTTGTAGTTCTGTAGAATACTTGCCATGGAAGTAGCTACATAAGCGACGCACAATATATGTGACACCGATACTTGGGAGTCTCGAATGTGTTGGACACATTGCCGTTGCCTCGAAACCTTTCGTTGTACTCCGCCGAGAACTTCCATACAAAACGTGAACCTTCCCCTCACACATACCGATTGCACTACAATTTCGACCATATACAGCCAATGCAGATGGTGCAGGTACTTCGAGGATGCAATTTTAATTTTACCAAATTTTGACTAGGCCGCTTCCCGTTTCGTGCTCTCTCATACCCTTTCCCCTGAAACAGTCGCCAGCAAGAGTAAATATTTTTATGGCAAACAATATACTTTATGATATTTTGTGACAAACGTAGGTGAAGAATTGTATTACGTCAAGTGATAGAAGGATCGTTTTTGCTCAACCGTATTATTATTATTATTATTTTTGTCTTTTTTTTATACAAATAAATAAAAGAAATAATTTGAAAGGATGCACAGCTGTTTGAAGAGACTATCGCCTGGTATCCGTAGAAATTGTCCAAGGCCTGGCAACGTGATATTATCACAAAATTGATATTTAAAAACTTTTTTCATTTTATGCTGATATATTTGGGGAAAACATCCCATTTTCAAGATTTGAAATATTTTTAATTTTTCGTGAAAGATTTTGTCATAAAATTTGTTTTAGATAAATTTGCCCAAAAACATTAATGGATAATTTTTCTTTTATTCAACAAAACACAACAACACAACACAAATTCTAATCAACAGTCGATGATATTTATATATAGTTTCAAAGTAGCTGCGCATCCATTTATGGAAGTAGACGCGAGAGAAAGTGTTTTATGATGTTTTGAATATTTCAACGGCTGCCGCCATCAAATTACGAGGCACAAGCATCTTTAATGTTTTTCAAAGTTGTTACTCTGCATACCCAAGGGTGACACGGACTGCCTTTTTTATTTACATTTTGTAAAGAGCATTAAAGAAAATACATAAAATCAATTTTTCAACGATAAGGGCTAAAAATGCACTGTTACTACTTGGCGATTCCCTTGCAACAAATGAATTAACTCTTCACATATATATAAAGTAAAAAAGGGTCGTTGACTTTAGAGCTTGACAAAAGACGCTTCTAAAACACAACGTTTCAGAAATTTTCAACAAGTTTTAACAAGTTTTAATTCTATAGAAAGATCTTCAAATTTTTAATTTTTTTGTGCATATTCCAATGGTCTGAATATCGATCGATATCTTCTCCATTCTTCGTGTATAGAGTTCGACATATCACAAAACAAACGATTTACTGTACTGAGTAAAAGATGATCAATGGAATGAAAAAAAAAAAAAAAAAAAAAAAAATACAACCACTCACGGGCATCTCCATGTACGTGTGTATGCGTATATATACGCATGTGAGTACCCAATGAACGTAAGTAGAAAGAATGTGTGATGGAATGAATTCCACAATTTGACTATGAACATTTACATGTTCAGATGGCAGGCTTCAAAAAACGGACAAGACTGTAATGCGAGTCGCCAAATTGGCAAAACACAAAACATCGAAAGCATTGCGATCATGAAGATCACATTTAGACAATTTGCGATCATCGAAAAGATGTACTGATATCCGGATAGGCAAACAAAAAATGATCTGGAGAGAGAGATTAAGACACGTTCCACGTGCATATGAAGCTACCCATTATGTTAGTTTTACATAGATAATCACTGCGCTTGGTTTGATTAGATACAGATTATCCATGGTTGTACGTGGTTTTATCTGTGAAGCTAGAAGAATATAAATAGCGACCATAAAGTGATTCGTTTCAACGATATTTCCCAGAAAAGAGTAACAGTTGCTTGTCATCCGCCTTATCAGAAATGACAGCACGGTCATTAACACTAGATTTACAGACTGAAACCTTTTGACTCATTAAAAATTTTATTACCCTATATATATAAAATTTTACTATTATTTTTTAAAAACATACCTTATAAACCTACCTAGTGAACAAATGAAATATATATATTCTCCGCGGACCTCGTCATTTCGCATACCTAAATTTACGGTTATGAGCCAATTGGACGCAGAGAATGATACAACATAAAACTGATTGCTCATATCAAGCATGAACAACAATCAAGTCGCACGTCATTTGAGCCAGAAAATTTCAAGTGTTCATATGTTTGGTCTGCGAAGGGGGGGTCCGGGGTTTTTTTCGCTGGACTTCGATGAAAAAAAATGAACGCAGAGACACACTAAAAACAAACAAATTTGCCTTAGTATCAAAACTATGGGATAAATTTAGAGAGAATAGCCAGACTTCTTACAAACCTGACGCAAATATAACAATCGATGAGCAATTGTTCGCTAGTAACGCTAAATGCCGGTTTATACAATACATTCCAAATAAATCGAATGAATTTGGCAATAAATTTTGATTAGCATTCGATGATAGCAGCAAATGCCTTCTAAACGGGTTCCCGTACTTCGGCAAGGATGAAACTCGACCATCAAAAGTTCCCTTTAGCGAATTTCTAGTAACTAAGTTTGCAGAGCTATATTTAGGTTGTGAATGTGAAATATTACTACAGATTATTTTTTTTACAAGCATTTCACTTTCAAAAAAGTTATTAGCAAAGAAAGCTAAACGTACAGTGCCAACCGATAAGAATTACGTAAAATTGCGAAAGCTAACAAAGATAAAATGACGCAGTTTTCTACGAAACTTTATAAATCTGAGAATTATACTCTGACCGTTTATAAAAACAAGCTTAATAAGAAAGTTTTACTACTGAGTTCAAAACATAAGAAAATAACAACTGAAAAAAAATCAAAAACTTATTCCAGAAACAAAAACCTATTATAATAGCACCAAGCATGGCGTGGATGTACTTGCCAAATGGCCCGAAAATGTAGCTTTAAAACAAGCTCAGGCGTAGATGGCTTTCTATAATATTTTAGCTTTAGCAGCTATCAATGCTTGCATTCTGTATAAAGAGACCACTCAAGTAAATATTTAAAAAAAAAGATTTTATTTTCCAGTTGGCTGAAGAGCTAAGAACTACAAAATATAGAGAAAAAGTCAAGAACACCTCCATTCCGATGACAAAAATTCATATAACTGATGTACGGGAGAATTGACAAGTTCAAAAATTATGCGCCAAAAATAGATGTGAAAAACTTTATGGAAAATTTATTTCAAAAACAGAACATTATATGTAAAAAATGTCTTCAATTAATGTTTTCGGCTTACTTCAGTAAAAAAATGTATTCAGTATATAACCAAAGTCCGTAAATCGAATGTTAATATATGATTATCTGCAATGACATTTGCAGAGATGTCTACCTTACTCATTTCACAAGTTTTTCTTGTGCAATTTCCACAGCCGTAAAATAAAGGCAAAGTTAACAAATGACCACAATCTGTCCGCAACGGGATGAACAAAAAAACTACAAAATCCATTTTCATATGGCACCGAAATGAAATCCAATTCTGCCGTTAACATGATATGAATCTTTTGTCAAATGTTGACATTGCTATTCAGGAACGCTTTGAACATAGAATACCTTAAGTACCTTTTTCATGACCTGTAGCGCCGACGGCAAGTGTACAACACTGTTTCTTCACGTGTTTGCTACACCCAGAAGAATCCGAGATATATTTACGGTTTATTATAGCGAATGATTCAAGTCATCTTCTGATTAGATTTAGGCTTGTTTGTCCGAATGTCCGTGCCGTGTCAATCCATACATTTTTTATTCAACCTGGCCATTGCAACTTTTAAGATATTTTGATAAATTTTCATAAGGTGTCATGTATTGATTCAAGGACAATTGGATCGAGAGATTTTTACGATTAGTCTTCATATATATGAATTTTTATATATAAAAAAAAATTGCAATTTTTAATATTTGTCGATAGATATCATCAGAAAATATTTTAAATTCTTTTAAAAAAATAAAATTTTACACAAGATCTAGTCGTTAATATTTTATAACAAAAATAACTAAAGAAGAACGAAGTTTTCGACAAAAAAAAAATTAATTGCAGTTAGGTCGATTCAGAAAAGTAAGTATATTCACATAGCAGCTCGGTATAATTTTTTTATATTTTATAAAGTAAGTTATACTTGCATTTCTCAAATATAAGAAAGTAGCAAAAAATATAGGGTACTTAATGGCTGACCGGGCACGAGTATAAAATATTTTATTTATTTATTTTTTTTTTTTTGTTTAAATAAATTTAATTTAATTAATTAATTTTCTGTTGTATTTATTTTTCCAAAATGGCTTTCTTTAAGCTTGTTTATGTGAATATTAAATACAGTTAAATATCAAAATAAAAATCAAATCAGTACTAGAAATAGGGAATTACAAAACAATACACATTAATGGCTTTTTAAGTAAAAAAAAAAGCAATTCACTGAAAATACAAACAAACAGCGGTAAAGAGATATTTTTTTCTTTAATTTTTTTTTTTTTTTTTTAATTTGCTTATTTCAAAATAAATTGGACCACAACCGAAACCACTAAAACCAATAGAGCCACCGCTATACCTAACATGTACATAGCCCGCGTTAACTCTTGACTGGCAGCCACTCTCTCTGAATGTTTAATCACTTTCTGCTTAGATGTATCCAGGGAATTTGCAGTTTCCTCATTAAAGGCATCATCTTCGGCTAAGCCCTCCCAGTCGGCGACAATACTATCAACGGTAATATCCAAATCAAGTATTTGTTTAGCTTGAGCCACTGCCACTGTAGGTGCCTCGCCACGAAAGATATATTCGGAAAATTGTATGGGTCGATTGCCACTGCTAATGCTGAAGTACACACGACGTGGTGGCTCTGATATAAAAATTGATTCATTGCTAACATTTGGATCCGTTAAACCATCGCAATATACTTGAATGCGTGCAGTTAGCGATCGCATTATATCTTCGCGTAGAAATCGTTTAACATCAGCCAATGTATTCTTTGGATTGCACCATATTCGCGACGTTATAGTGCCTTGAAAATGTATCGTTCCATTAAATTCGCGTACTTGTATGGGATTCACACATTTACTAATCAAACATTTAATCGGTAAAAATATGGATGCTTTAAAACAGTCGTCCGTACATGCAGTAGATTTGGCATTTGCACGTTTCCTTTTAACATATGTCTCCAAAAGTTGACTGTCTTCAACGGTTTCGTTTTGTATGAATATTTCACTGGCTTGCAAGTAATCGCGCACCCATTCAATAGTGTTGTGAAATTGCATTTCAATATTAATTTTCTCAGCGGAAGCGACAACGGGGAAAACATCATCCATTTCATAGTTGCACTCGAACGTGAACCATTCAAATGGCTTCTCAACGAACCGATAATCCATCGATGAAAATGTACCACCACTACAAGACAACAAATGAAGAAAAAAAACAACAAATAAGAAAAGTGTACTTGCTTTGGGCAGAAACCTTGTATACATACCCACCACCTAAGGTAAATATATGAAAATCGTACGGTCTTTTCTTTAATGATGAACCTGACAGTGCTCCGAGCGAAACCACTTCCTTATGTCATCATTATTTTGTATAGCCCTGGTAAGAACTTGCGCTAATGTTTCAAATTGTTATCTGTTGAAAGGCGTAAGTTTTCGATATATATATATGTATATATATGTATATATATGTATATATATATATATATACATATATTTTATTTTATATTCTCTATTTCTTTTTTCTTTTAAGGATGTTTCAGTTTTCTGACTTGCCTTCAAACTTAATCTAAGGACTTCAATCGCAAATATATATATTATATATATTATGTATATTATGTACGTGTGTTTCAAGTTACAGTTAAACATCTTAATTGCGGTCATATTTAGTATAATTATCACAATAGAAAATCGCTGGACGAATAGACGGACGGGCACAATCTGGCTCAATGAACTGGAAATTTGTTGGCGAGAAACTCATATCACGTGTAGGCACAATTCCGTAGGAAAAAAATCTATCCTTTGAAGGCGAATATCGAACTTTCACTACTATCTTTAACTATTGTGTATGTTTCGAAAGGCCTAACCGATGAATGCCAATCTCAATAGTCTTCAATTAATTTGACTATATCGGCATTAGTGGTAGGCGACGGACCAGAACGAAGAGAAATTTCACGATCAAAATCTTCGTGACGGTATTTCACACATCACTTCAGTTAACATTGGGTCATTAGCTTATGACCTATATCTGGAAATAAAGAGGCGAACGCAGCTCCCATTTACACAATAATACATAGTTATGTTCTTATTCCATGTGCAGCTTCATAAATACGGGCTTAAACTATTAGCACCTATTTCAACTATGAATTAATAATACAGCAAGCCTCATATTTGGCACCTGGATACGGAATAAAAACAACTCAAAAAAAACAAACATCTGTCGAAAGTTCTTTACGGAATTATGCATCTGCTAAATATACAATCATTAGGGCTAAAACTAATTTCTGGATGTTATAAAAGAAATGACCCCCTCCCTCTGGTGGTGGGTATAATAAAAATATTTCAAGATATTTAAGAAGGCATTTTTCAACTATTAAACAAAAATAAAAAAAAAAAAAAAAAAAAAAAAATCAAGATAAAAAAATCGAATATGATTAAAAACCATAAAGTGTTGTTGATGATAAGGCCGACAAATAAAATTAAAGATGCAGTTCATGAGATTTGTGTATTTGTTTAGTGTTCACAAAAATGATACCAAACTAACATATTTAAAAAAAAAAAAAAAATTATTATTATTATTAAAATATTTGTATTACAATCACTTTTATAATCATTCATTTCACATTTGAAACTTTTTTCAACGATTCTTCGTAACAAAATTAAATTAAAATCGAGAGAAAATTGTTTTTATTTATTATTTTTAAAAAATTACCATAAAACACATTTAATATGTGCTGTAAAGTAGGTTTTCTTGCATTCCCTGTTCATTTCAATAGATTCAAAATAGAAAATATAGTTAAAAATCAATTCATTTTATATTTTAAAATGACTTAAGAATTATTTTCAGTTTATTCTCGCTTTCGCTATATAGAAATCTATAGAATATCACATGCAAAGGATGATTATATTGATTGCAGGAAAGAAACATAACTAAAGTAAATAAAAACCAAAAAATAAAAAAAAATTAAAAATAGATAAATAATAAACACTTCGGGAGATTATTTTTCTATACCATCCTATTGGACACCATTTGTTTTGCTAAAATGAGCGGGAAAAGTAATATATCTAGACTTGGCTTATTCGAAACTTAAAAATCAATCATTTAACATAATAGTGAACTGATAAGCTAACTAGTCCTTAATAGCGTTTAAAATAGAGGAGTTAACCAGCAATAATTGCAAAATTTATTTCTTAATATTTAATTTCTACAACAAGTTACACTGAAAGATGTCTGCGTTACATGACCACTTGCTTAATTAATTAATGTCTGTATTTCGGATAATTTATGGACTTTTATTTCCACTACTTACTAGTAGTTGTTGACGTTTTACCTTGGAAGACAATAACTGACATGACTAGGTTCGTCTGTTCCTTTAATTACTACAGAGCATGGCGGACGTTAGTTATTTACTATGAATAACGGTCGGTATTAGCTAGTTAATGTTTCTTTCATAATCATTTAATCTTAACAATCGATAATCTTGACTGCATAAAGATTTTTATTAGAAACTGTTCACAATTTTGTGCTTTCGAGATTCTTAGAAAAAAAAAAGATATTTGTTATTGAAGCGACATTTTACTAATGGTTGTAATAAGATTGAAAAAAATGACAAGAAATAAAAGGGACAACTTTATTCTCCTAGGCTGTAATCCGATAGAAGAATGAAAGATTCCATGATTGTTTAGTGACCCGGTAAAAATTGTTGCCACTTAACTGCGATATTGTAAGGCACTCATTGCATTGTGCAAAAATAATATATTCAAACCACCACTTGCTAAAGGCGCTACATATTTTTCTCCATTTGTTTTCCTAAAAATCTTACGTTTTCTAATAATGAACAGACAAGAATGCTTCTGAAAAGGCAAAGTTGTTCGAAAAAATTGCGATATATTCAATTTGCTAAAGTTGGTTCTTCTACTTATTGTTAATAATCATCTATAGAGTGTTTAATATTCACTACGTATTTATGCAGAGGCGTTAATAATATAAATATGTTGTGTGCGTAAACAAATGAATTGATAACGGGAAAATTATAGAATGTTCTTATTTAATTTCTGCCTTTAATGCGCAGATATTCGATGTAATCAAACCGTTGGATCAAAATATAACAAAAAAAAAACCCTAGGTTTTCTCTTAAACATTTCAGCAAATTCCACTGAAACAAGTTTTAAGCAAATAAACCCAAAAAATACACACACTCGTTTAAAAAAAAAAAAAAAAAAGTAAGAAAGTTACATTCGGCAGGGGCCGAATATCGCATACCCACCACTATGCTTTTTGCATTCTACTCTCCAAATTCTATTATTTGATACCTATATCGCTGGTGTTATTGAGAAAAAATTAATCCTGGTCGCGGTGTCTACCATATTCATTTTAAAATTAACCCATTCTTCGGCAGATAATATATATATCTTTGCTTGAGAAGTGTACAAAATCGTTTTAAACATTGTTTTGTTTGCCTTATGATAAATAAGCATAAAACCTCAAAAAAGTGAAAGAAAAAAATTTTATCAATTGCACCTTTGTGTGAGCATAGCCAATTTTTGCACGTAAAGGGCCGAGTGTTTCGTAAAGTAACTGTGGAAAATTGTAGCCTTCTAAGAAAAGTGCAAAAACCCGCAAAGTTTCGTTAAAAAAGAGATGCGTTCAGTTTACGCTGCACTGTGCGCGTCTGCTATGATCAGTTTGACCCATTTTCAATACCAACCTGCGCTCAAAAACTTGCAATGTTTTTGCGAAATTTGACGCCAGTATGTTCATTTTTACGACCAGGAGAGTGCCAACAACAAACACCACACACGGAAAGCCATAACTGATCAAGAATATATATACTTTGTAGGGTCTCTAAAGCTTCTTTTCGGGTGTTATATATATTATGAAAAAAAAAAATAAAAATAAAAATAAGTACACCCCCATCTTACAGTGGTGGGTATAATAATTTTACATACATAAATAAATTATCTATGAAGTCTATCAACATATATTGCTGAGCAGTTACATGAAATTACAAACTTAGATAATAGATAAAAGAGGTAAACATAGAGAGATTAAAAGGAAGAAAAAAAAAAAAAGAAGGGAGTGGAGTACATATAGATTTTATATATTGTGCACATTGTGAAACATAAATTTGTTTAAATATTCAATATTAAACAACTTAAACCTATTTCAAATAAATGAGAATTTTATTTGATTATAAATATATTGAATTTACTTACTTTGAGACATAATTGTACATTTTACAAACTGCTGTCTTCGTTGAACTGGAATATGCCAAATACAAATATTCCGTATTCGGTTCTTCTTTTAATGTAATCGAAGCACTACCTTGTTTAAGTAAACTAATACGAAAAAGCAGAAAAAATTTCAATTCTTATTTCTTTTCGATTTCTATTCCACTTACTTGTGCACATCAAATAACAGTCTTTTGGCAGATTTAAATTCTGCAGAATGTTCACTAATGATTTCTGCATTAACAGATGTTACGAAGATGCCTAAAGTAAGAAAAGCCAAACTAAAATATATATATAAATAATGTGTAAATAAATAGGAAAATTATTATAGCCTTAGGGCAAATCTTAGGGCGAACCCATCGCTCGTTCATCATTTCTTTACTGAACTTTTAAATAGGTTTTCTTAAGTATTTATATTAAGTTTTAGGTAGATATCGTTTAACAACTATATAATTAAAAGTCTTTACATTCGCGACTGGTTGTTTCCCATCTCCGTTAGCAAAGCTTTTTTAACACCGATAAGGGAGTTTCAAAGATCACCTGACGTGTATGTGTATATGACCAATAAGTATAAAATTTTGAGTCGATTTAAACATATCCGTCTGTGTACTCTGTCATGCACGTTCCACTCAGCATAGAAAGAAACAAGGCTAATCGCTTAAAACATTGAGAATTCTTGCGCGCAGACTAGTGTTGAAAACCATGGAATTTGATCAAAGGACACGTCTAAAAAGCAACATCAGCTAAGAACACCCTTTCTTTCTGAGTATTTTGCTCAAAAGATACTTCATAAACATTTTCACCTAAATTCTACAAAAAGGGAAAAATCCCGTCCATGGGTGTGGCAAATGCGAAAATTGCATATTTCTTGTTTTCTCTTAAGCTTTTTTAGGGTACAAGTGGTGCATACAAGATTTTATTTCAGCCGAATATAATTTAATTATTTGTCAAGTTTTCGATTACGAAAACGTTTTAAACTAATGTAAGGTTTATTGAGTCTTTATTGGTTATTTCAAAGTGTGTTTGTACAAAGAAAACTCTATTATACAATCATGTAATAAGTAGCAAAACGTCTCTTGCATTGTATCGAAACTTGAACCTCTACTAAATTAAACAGTTTTGTGTTAATTATGAATACTTCGACGGAGATATTTCAATTCTCAACGATAAATGACACGAAGAGAGTGACAGGTCTGAGTCTACGTCGATGCTTAGTTTTATATTGATAATTAACATATATATATATATATATATACTTTATTGCTGTGCGGTTATAAAAATTCTTCTACTGCCATGCTTTACTTACCCAAAACATCAAATGAGCCGGGTATCATTTTGAAAGCACTTATCATTTGATTTGTTAAAGCCTGCATATCAATTTGTTCCACTTTATGAGGACCATGACCTAAACCACTGTCATCAGTGGGCATCGGCAGATCAACATCTTCATCGCCATTTTTAGCCAAATGTACAATGACATACTTTCCAGGTTCAGCTTTCTAATATTAATAACATATACAACAAAGAAACAATACGTGATGACGTTTAATTATTTTTAGCCCACATTTAAACACACAATAGCCCACCTGGCCAATGATTATACCGTAAGCAAAATGCAATTGTGTTGCACATTTTTGCAAATACTCCTGATCCGATTTACTCAACAATGCAATGGCGACCATTGCCACGTTTATGCTTCAACGTTTAGCTGTATTCTTGTACCTCTAATTTCTACTTAAACAGAGGAACGTTCCCTGATATCCGTGATACACATTAAACAAAGCTTCTCTTATAATTTATAATTACAGGCCGATATGAATAAATGCAAGAATAAGAATTAAAAATTACTCAATACACGACGATGCCGTTTGTATTGTTGTTGTCGCTTTTACTGTAAAATGACACAAGTGCTTGTTTACGTGTGCTATTTATTCAAACAGTGCTTCTGAACGCACCATGTGCAATGTTACCTAAATCACGTTTGTTTTATATCTGCAAGCGAACATATTGATTTTATCATTGTGGTTTGACGCACGCAAATTAAGATCGTGCACGGATTGGCAGCGAACTTCGACAAAGTCTAAATCATACCGATGTCGAGGTGATTAAAAATATTTCCAATTTATGCGGCCTTCGAAGCGTCACAAAATTATAAATATAATATACTGTAAATTTCTTATAGGATCATATAATTCAATTATATCTGGAAATTATTAACGACGTTAACTTGTACGAACGAATTCTGGAAGTTTCAGTATGTAGCAGTAGTACCAATAGCACCAAAAATAAAAGCAGACTTGTTATGATAGTATTTAATTTTGGTGAAATGTAACATATGGTAGTACGACTTTTGGTGAAATAATTATAAAATACAGTAAAAGGATAGCAATATCAATATGTAGCCTATGATTTAGAGCAATAAAAATAAAAAAGCTTGATTCTAGAATCTAGACTTTCTTTCAAAGACAATCTAGAAGAATATCTATTTGTAACTAATATTTTTCGATCGCTTCAATAATTTCACCACTTGGGCTGCAATCACACAGTTCAAAAATAGTTTTCAGTATGTTCAACATTCAGTTATTTAGCAAAAACAGCTGAAAACAAAAATTAGATTTTCATAATTGAATAGAGTGTATTTTTCTTGCATTATGTGCACATACACCTAGTAAGAAATATCATTTGGAAACTTTCAATTAACATTTATTAAAGTGAATGGACGCATAGATGGAATGCACATTTATTTTTGTCAGCTCGTACAAAATGAAGAACTGTTCATAGACCTAAAAGGCAAGCATACTCTGAATGAAATTGAAGGGACTTAATATATATATATATATATATATTTTGGCGTATACACATATAAATATTTTATTCGTAAGGTCTACGGCCACATAAAAATTATGGTAGTAAATTTTTGATTTCCTGGATGAAGGCAAACTTATTTTGACGACGGGGCCGATGTTTCGCTGAAGGCCTCGCAACTGAGCCGAACAAGTGAGGAAGTAACAACCGGCATATCTTCGGCACTTTCAAATTAAATTGTGTTGAAATAAGAGATATAAATTAGCCGCATGAGTAGCCGAGTAGGTAAAAGATTGATACTAGCGTCTCAATGACTGTGAGCTCAAATCCCAAGCGCGGTACAGTTTTCAATACAAGCAAGCATATGATCTAAGTTATCCGGCAGCCTTTAAATCCTTACTGTGTAAATTTATTTACAAAGTATATGAACAATAAATAAATAAATAAAAATATAAGGAAGAAATCTTCTTTAAGATGTTTTGCAATTCATTTTAAATCATTAGACATTTTTTTGTAGGTGAATTTGTATATTATAAAAAATATAAAAACATATATATACAAATTCAAAGTTTTCCTAAGAAAGCAGAGTGTAAAACCATGCGAATAATTTGGAATTATTTCATCTTTCGTTTTGTCAAAAATTTTACTTTATTTTGTTTTTATTTACATTTGTATGATTTTGTTATTGACTGTGTCATTGTAAACAACTAAACATCAAATTTTTTTCTTATATTCCTATTTTTTTTTTAAACAAATTTCGAACGTCCAAAGCAATACATAACTGAGAAACAGGTAGCGTTCAAGCTACGCCTTCCAAATAAGAGCTCGTTAACTAAAAGATACATAATCAATGCCTAGTAAAAGGCACAGCTTGTTTGTTATGCTAAAGTAAATTCATATAGCTGTTGCTTCTTTACGTAAACATGAATGAAGTATAAAACTAATCAATCGATAAATTATATTTGAAAAATAGTTTTCTTCAATCAAAATATAAAAAAGCGAAAATAATTTTTTTTCCTGTATAGAAATAGATAGTAACATACTTTAACCCAATTTTTTTTTTTTTATCATTTCGTACTTGATGTATTAACAATACCATTTTGTTTTGTTTTCATACCTCGCTGGTCTTCCTGCCAGAAATGAAGAAAGCAGAAATTTTAAAATTTTGACAAAAATTTGTTTCGACGGCAAAGGCAAAGCAAGCTACAGTGAATCTCATTAATATTGGCTTTTTTCACTCGACAAAAAGTAAACGCTTGTTAAATTTAGTCCATTGTGCAAACATAAAAAAATTTTTTACTACTTTGCACTACTAGAGAATACATATTAAAATATAAACAAAAAAAAAAAACATTATTCCAGTAGACAAAAAAATTAAATAAGATTTTCATATGTAATTCTGAACCTTTAGAGTTATTTGTGGCGAGAAATTTATTAAGAAAATCAAAAAAAGGAAACACTACAATGCCGACGTATAAAATGGAAAACCCAAAATGAGGCGTGGTTTCTGTTTCTCAGCTAGTTTTGTTTCACGTATGACACAGCGTTCGGTATTCTTGTACAAAGGTCGTTTTTTTGTTTTTTTCTTCACTTATGCATAGCAGCTCTTATACAGACTGTCTAATATTCGCCAAATTAGATGAAAGCAAAATAGCTAACGGTTAAATAAATTGGATATTTTCAAGAAGAGCTATCATGAAAATTTATTATGCTGTTGCGCTTATAAGAAGAAACAAATAAAATAAAAAACATTCAACAAGCTTTTGCTTTGCAAACCTTTGCTGGAGGATGATGTTACATCAAGCATCCATTAAGAGAATTTTTGGTTATGCAAATAATGGCAACAAAGGAGTAAGTAATTATATCGTTGCTAATTAATAGCGCGATTACAGTCATTGATTACAGAAATTACCAAAATTCCTGAGATTTTTGTACTTTTGTACTGCCGAAATTTTAGGATATCTTCTCGCTTAATTGTTCTGCTCGCTTTGATAGTTCTGCAAAGTAGGCAACTCTGTGCAATCAGATTACGCACTTAATTGAAATTAGTCTCATAATCGCAGCGTTTTTGACATTTTGTGTTCACTCAATTTGGCGACTTACGCTGCTATCTTCTCTTTTTTTAAAGGTTGCCAACATTTTATAAAAAGATTTGCAGCCAAATTATGAATCTATTCCTTCACATACGCTATTACATTCGTAACTTTCCAACTTATTCATAAGACATTTCCATACACTTGTAATTTATCGCTTCTCGCCCTGCGAAACTTACTCTCTACACTGTATCACCTCATAATCTTTTGCAGACGAAAATTCCAAGGTCAAAATATAAAATAGAGCAAGAACATTAATTTGCAGCTCGGAAAAGATAACGTTCATTCTAGGGGCGGACGTTGTAACAAGCATAACATTTATATATACATTTGTATACACTTATAATGAAGTCATCTGTCAACTTTATTAAGATTCAAATAAAGAATCTAGCGTTCGTGTTGAACCTTTTCTACTCAAATCAGTGAGACATCTGTTGTTGATTTGCTGAAGCATAGAAGAAGTAAAAGAAGAAAACGAATTTGTTTAACATTAAAACGAAGAGATTTTCAAGATGATTCTGGACGGGTTGTGGAAGTAAAGAAAAAAGAAAACGAAACTGAATAACGAAAATGTTTAGCAAATTGTTCCAAGAAAGTTGAAATAAATTATTTGATTGTGTGCAATTCCTTGATCATTCCTTAATTCAGTCCGATGGGAGATACGTAATTTATGTAAAATAGGTTGACAGGGGGATGGATGATGGTAATGGTAACTTTCCTTTCATTATGGTTTCAAATCCTACTCTGTTTGGTTTGAATTTATATCTCTTTAATTACACAAAGTTTGTCCCGCATCCAGAACAGCTAGGTTGGGAAGATATGAACTGTGAATTTTTAACATTTAGCCTAAGCAAAACACTGTAGACTAGCAAAACGGTGTTTCCTACAATTAATAAATAAAATTAGCAGAAAAGCGATTAATTCAAATTTAAGAAAAGAATCTTCCTAGAACAATATGGTGCTTAGCGAGGAACAAAAGAGCGTTTTTACTTAGACGTTGCAAATTGGAAAGGAATTCACAAATACAAATATGCATGGCATTGGTGTATTAACGTAAACTCGTTGTACTGTTTGATACAGTAGTAAAAAGCCCTTAGGAGGAACGGGGATATATACAGTTTTTTAAATGCCGATGATGAACAATTATAGCGTCTTCGAAAATGAGATAATCTATTTTTAGTTCTGTTATCGGTAACGTTTCGCTCATGCATCTTGAACTGGCAATAAAGCTTTCGAAAGCGACTTGGGAGAAACTCTAAGAAAATGATATTCCTCATCCAGAATAAGTATATAAAAAATTTTTCTTTTTTTTTTTTGATATTGCGTTCCCTTATTGTTATATTTACAGAAACGAATACAATAACAAGCGAAGGCAAAGGATAAACGTTGCTTTTTAAGACCATAAGCAATTTCCATAAGTCAAACAAGTACCCAGGCGTTTCATTAGTGCAAGGCAAGCTGCAAGCTGCAAATTAAAGAATTGTTTGCCATCCAATGTTTCCTTAACCAATGTGTGCAAAGCTCCCAGGGAGAAACATTAGACGATGGATTATAATAGACTTTATGTACATTAAGTAGCTGAAGTACCAATGTGGAATTGTTTTTGTTAAATTCATTGGATTATTGATTGCTGTCAATTCATAGGAAATTTGCTCTTCTGATGTCGTCTCCGATGTGTTCACCTCAACAATTTCTTGGCTTCCCCTCTGCTCTTGCGAACCAACTGCCAAATTTGGTGGGAAAACCTTTATGTAATTCTCCTTCGGAACTTCAATACTCTCTTTATATTTGCTATGTGAATTTTCTTGAAAAGTTTGCAAAACCTTTTGAATGCGTATATCTAAGGTAGAACGCATTATTAAAAGCTCTTCTGCTTTAAATTTAAGAGGCAGAGCTATATTTATGTCAGGGTGTGGGGCTTGGAAAATTTTGAAGCCCGGTTCCGATCCGTTGAGAACGCAAATGCATTTGCTTGATCTATGATAAACGGTGTTTGTCATTGTTTGTGGCTTAGGTAGAAGCCAATTGGAATCAGGGCGTTTACAATACTCATATCGCGTAAACGGTGAAGAGCCATATGAGCACGATCGCAAGTACAGTCCAGCCCCTTCCTTCTTACGAAATGAATCGTTACGTTCAACTATGTGCAATATTTTCATCTGTTCGGCATATGTTGGTGAAGAAGTTGAAAGTGAATCAGAATGGTTGCAGACATCTGGGCATGAATCGTTGCTTTTATAGTCACCTTCGGAATTTTGGCTGGATTCAGTAGTACTTCTCGAATAATAGTTTTTCATGCTATCCGTCGAATCTAATAAATGCACTTCCGAATTACTGCGTTTTTTAGAATCGTCGAAATCCTTAAACAAAAGAGTGCTTAATACATATTCTTAGCTCCTAGGCAAATATTACTTACATTTGCAAATAAAAGCTTATAATCCTGTCTTGGTGTATATTCGCTCATTGTATGACGACGATAACGATGATGACGATGCTGAGTATTGTTGTGGGAACTATGATGAGATGCGTTTACGTTATGTTCCCTTGAGCTTTCTGCTTCAACATTACTTTCCTTTATAACATTACCAAGTAGCGAAGATTGACCACTTTTACTATGGGTTTTGCGTGTTACACCCGTCGACTTGCCTGGTTTATCATTCAGGGGAATATTCATCAGTTTGTTATCGACGCGTCCTCCATTATGACCGTTGTCGTTGATAGTTTTCGATTTTTCTGTAGCGTGGAAGCTTAGATGCTCCTGCTCATGCGTTGGAACTATTTCTGACTTAATATCATTAAAAATGGTTTTCGATATAAAATGTTCGCTGGTCATGGGAGACGATGAAGCATTAGAGGGTGTTGGACGCACGTCGCGGATTTGCGCTTGAATTTTAGCCATACGTTGATTCGACGCGTCCATGGTCATCTCCACAAAACTTCTAATATTATAGCGTATACTGTAGTGACCGTAATTTTTCCAATTACAATCTCAGCGCTGTAAATGCTCATTAACGCACATATAACCGCCGCACGATGCTATTACTGAGTCAATAGAAACAATTCATCAACAATTTTCTGGGCGCTAGGAAATCTTTAAAAAGGAACGTTTTTTGCCAAAACTTCAAGTGTTTCAAATGGATTTTATAAATAATAAAATTTTGAAATTATTATAAGCAACTAACAATTTGGAAGATTTTTCTATTGGCCAAAAAAAGAGGAAAAATTATAGTGTTGTAAATATTAGAAAAAAAAAGAAAGACAAATAAAATTAGAAAAGCATCTGAATAATAAAATATTGTGGTAAGGTAAGTAATAAAAAACTATCTATGCCAAAGTTGAAACTGGGCTTCTTTGGTATACAGGAGGTGACAGAAGCATTTATTTTTAAAAAGAAAATTTAATTTTTATAATTTTCTTCTTTATTCTTTCTTGTTAATAGCTTTATTATGAGCAACATCACAGAGACGTCACAACTCAAAAGGCAATCCTTGTCTATAGTCTTCCTTCAGAATCAAATCTGATAACAAGTCAAGAAAACTATGACAAGAAAAGGCGCTGTTTACTCATATCATTGGTTATTGATGACTCCCTCAGAGTATTTATCGTAATCTAATTATATTTATAGGACGAAATCTGCGATAATGTACTTAATTTTAATTTTCACTTTTTTTTTCAAAAACGCGAAAATAATTTGGAAAATGACGAAAAGATACGATTCATGCGCCAAGAGAATACGCCATAAGTGAAAGTGTCTAAAGGAGATTGGAAAAATTTTATTGACTTAACCTCGTTAAGAATGTAAACCGTTTTACGTTTGAAATTAACAAAAAGTTATAACAATAGATGCTTACATATAATTTGATTTAGTGACATCTATTGGTGAATATGATTAAGTAATGTGAAGTAGCAACGAACAAAATGCATAAGCTCCGGTGATTTTGACCTTTCTCATGCATATAGATGCTAATTACGGAACGCTCGAACGCTCTGTTGTTCCACAGCAAATAATAAAATTCTGAAGCTTTTGCGACGATGACCGTGTAATCAATAAATATTAACAATAATATCACATGCATTCGATTGGTGAGAAAAAATGATGTGACTCTCTTTCTTTCTTTTACTTTCTCTTTTCCTCCCTATCACTGTTCTAATGATATAAATGACATGATATGATTCATATATAGTGTAGAGGAGAGCGAGGAAGACAGTTTATCGGCATTTTTTTTGCAATCCTTGTAGATAAAGGTTGGAAAATGAAGTATTCAAATACATACGAAATTGAAGATCTAATGGGCCATTAAATAAGCGATGTAGTGATGGTTTGTAGAGCTAGGGGCTTATTTGTTCCACCTGGCTAAACCAGGTGGTTACTCTCACAAAAAAATAAGAGAAAATTTATATATATAAAAACGATAAATAACTAACGGCATGTGTTATCTAACAGTCTCGTATTTCATTAATATTATTCTTTTGCCTTAGTCTCTTCCTACGTATCTGATGGTCCGTTAAGTCATTGTTTATGGTTACAATCCTACGCATGCACACACACTTATACCTCATCGTCGCGAAACCTATTATATAGTTAGTTCATGTTGTTTGTCATTTTCTTTTTATTCTTTGCCTATTACTACTTCTCAAAATTATTGTGATTTATTTCTTACTTGCTGTGGTCCTCTATTTTATTCCTTTCCCTTCATAATACCGCCTCGTATTGCTTCCCATTGCAAAGTTACGCAATCTTGTGGCTCCTTTCATATGTTTCCTTAGGGATAAACCTCTTTATTGACACCAATATTTGCAGGTTCTTCCTCTTATGTATATATCCCAGTTTTTAGAAAGGACTAAGTTTTAATTACTATAGTAAGACGTGTGTTTAGTTGAATTTGAATGTTAATTTCCAGTTTTCACGATACGTTTGTGCTTAGGCTTAAGTTTTAATTTCCAATAATGTGTTTTCAATTGGAGGTGAGTTTTAATGTCAACTTTTCACAAACTTTTTTTCACTCTTTCTTCCTGATGTTTAAAATTGAAAAAAAAAATATATGTAAAATTATTCGCAGTGCATTCATTCAACTAACTTTAATAACTTTATTTACAAGTTAAGTTAATATATGTAAAATTTGCTTTAATTTTTGATAATTATTTTGTCAACTTTTCGTTAAGCAACACTCTGAACATTTTGACAACTCCCGTTGATCTCCTTTTCTTTTCTCATCTTGAAGCTAATTTTATTGCCAAAACCTACCCTTGTGTTATGCAGTCTGAAGTTCAACTTTCTTCTCTTCTCATATTTCTGTCTCTCAATAGTGCTACTATGTGAGGGGAGAATTATGAAAAGAGACCTTACCTAATCGAATACCGTTATTATGAATAACGCTACTCCTTTTGTGAAGAGCAGGGATAAAGCCGACCAACCGAAACCCCCTACACGTATATACTCGGACCTTACAAAGTAAAACCGTTTATTTCTGATACAAATACATTGTTATCGCTTGGAAATTTACAGTCCCTTCACAGGTACATGAAGACAATATATATGAGAATTTGTAAAAATAAAGAAAAAGGACAATAAATCTATTATTATTATTATTATTTTAAATTTAGACTAATGAATTGAATTCTTAGACTAAAAAAAGAGACATTGAGCACTAGCAACACAGGCTATCGGCTCTAGACAATAAATCTAAAAGTTAAATTTTAAAAAGAATTGTAATTACAATTTTTTTTCATTGTTTCCGAGATTTGTTTTGGAATCCGATTAAGGATTCTGACTTTTGCTGTGATTCCTGTTGCCTTTTGAAATCTTTGCGCAAAGAGTTCATACTTCGCGATTCGATGATGCTAAAATTAAAATAATTAAAAAAAAAATCAGTGTGGATAATTCCATGATAAGTATCAAGCGCTGGGCTCAAGACGCTATTTATGTCGTTATATGATTTTTTTGAATATTGTCAAATATAAAACTTGAAAAAAAATTAAAATAAAAAGCTAAAAAAAGGAACGGCGCTATCTCCTGTCGCAGAATTTATTTCACTTAAAGTACTTTATTACATACTCTGACTCCACACTCCAAGATCATCCATTTGGTTGTTCATTATCTTTGCGTCTGCACATTCAATCTGAGACTTATAATTTTGCCACAAGATCGTACTAAGTCACCCGAGAGTGGGGATCTAGAATCGTTAGGGCCATGGCTTATGCCCACGACCGAAGTGAGTATTCCTTGTTTATTCCTTGAAATAATTCCTTGCCGATAATTGAACTCGGCTGAAATTTGTTTCAAGATTTCCCTGATTATGGGATGTTTTTGCTTCTAATAAAAAAATAAAAGTTATTACCTCCGATTTGACCATTGACTGTTACCTGACTTCTGCAAAGTTGCCGAAGTTATGCGGTTTTGCAAATTTGATCGTGATTCCAATTCGTCCGTAACCTCTCGCTTATTCGTGTTCCAGAGCATATGAAATCCTCTTCGCTTAACAGTACTGCTCATCACATATCAAATGCCATCCAGATCAACGACTCTTCGGGTTGTTTCTTTGATAAGTTTTCAAGTCTTTCGAAAAAATTATATGCCCTTGCGGGAGCACTGCTTGCAATCGAGGCACTGCCAAGCTTAGACTCGCCGTAAATTAATGTAAAATGTTTCCTTCTAGACTAAATTTCAGGTTTTTTGCCGATGTTAGAAAGAAATACACACTTCCATACAACACACACTCTAAGGATAGGAATACGTAAATCCTGGAAATAATTTTGTGAAAATGTTAATCTGAGCTCTTTGGTATACGGTGAGAATTTTTAGAGCAATTACTTCCTGTCATTGTTCAATATCCACACAATTCCTTAACGAATTTTGTAATAAGCTCGCTAGACCTTCTGGTTCAATAATTCCCTCTATATTACTTGGTGAGGAACCTGATAATTTTTTTTTTATACGACATATCTCTACCTGAACTCATAAAGCCATTAATCCCTTAATATACTCATCTCCAGGTTTACATGGTATGCGTAGCATATTGAATATCGACAACATATTAATTCTACTTAAGCAGTTTACCAAATTCTAATTAGCGGTTATATACCCTTTTGCCGGGACGACATGCAAATCTTCACTGTATGAAAAAAGAATAACCCGTCTATTAATCTTAATTCCTACTCTAATTTCTCTAGCCTCAGAAAAATTGTGGAGAAAGTATGTTTAGAATGGTATCTCAAATTTAAGTGCATTTTCAGCAATTTTCAATTTGGTTTTAGGCGTTTCAGATCTGCCCAAGGCAAAATTGTCACTTTGTGGTCAGCAATCTATTCAGCATTTGCTAAGAACCGCATTCTCATCGTTTGCTTTCTGAACATAACCTCAGCCTTTGATGCTGTCAATATCAACATGTTTCTATTTTACTCTCTTTGAATCTCCCTATCGAATTCTTACCATGCGACCCTTTTCTTTATAAAAAACATGCTAATTAACAACGATGATGCCGTTGCATAAAGAAGATCTTTCACAAGTGTTCCTTAGGTAACTGTATTGAGTCCTCTTTGTTTTAATCCATATACAGTCAAACCTGTTTTTGTGCGGTAGATAGAGACCGCAGAAAAAAAACCGCACAAAAAAAAATATTCAAAAACTTCATAAATAGCTATAAGAAATAATTTTTCACAGCATATTAAAGAAAATTTTTTTTATGCGGGAGAGAGAGGGACCGCATAAAAAAAGTCTCACTTAGAAAATATGTCAAAGCTTCACGAAATAGCAAGAAAGTGCTTTCCAAACAAAATAAATAATTAAATTACACATTGAAACATTTAAAAAAATTTTAATTTCTAATTTTAAACAAGGAGAAATATACATAATTCAATACTACTCGTCGTAGTTCAAAACGCGCATATTTTTGCGGTGAACTGGTTCGTAATCGCTTTCGTCACTTGAAGATACTACAGTTGATTTATTTTTTGTTAACATGTAGTCGGTGATAAGTTTTTGCGACGACGGTCGTTTGGTCAGCTGTTTGTAAACGTCGCGATAGCCAGATATACACAATCGAAGCTCGTTTTGGAATTTTAAACTTCTTTGAGAATTGTTATCTATTTTAAGAAAATGCTTTTCCAATTTGCTGCAAAGCTGGACCCCTGCATATATTTTATCCTGTCTTAATGGTTAAAAGGTCAGCAATTAACTAAAGTTATTAGATGGCGCAGTATGTATTGAAATTGGCTGATGCAATAGGTATG